AGTGAGCAAGAATGGTGGAGGATGTAGGGCCCAGGCTTCTTCTGCTGCTCAGGTGGGCAAAACACAAGGTAGGGCTGGGCTAGTTTCCCTTCTTCCATGCATCCTTCCTCTTGGTCTACACCCCCTACTTGCCACTGAGGGGTCCTTTGCACCCCCAGCTCCTGCAGTAGCAGCAGTGCTGAAGAGAATCAACTGAAGCAGGATCACATTGGGATGGCATTCACACAACATTCAAATTACATAGCCTGCTATTTCACAAAACATATGATACATGTTAAGTGATGCATATTTACAAATGAGACTTTATAAGATTAAATTTCAGACTGCCATTGAAATCTTGCTAAGGCACTGGGGAATCAAAGATAGGAATTCACAGCCTCTGAACTCAGAATTTGGGGAAGATGGTCTCCATTAGTTATTTATTCAAATAGCACAAAACTAAAGTCATACACATAAACTTATAAACATATCCAATAGTGGTATACTAAGAAAAGACGTACATACAAAGTTCTATGTGAACACAGAGGAGGAAGTACAGAATTCTGCCAATTAAAAGAGAAGGATGATTGAGCATAGTTTCAACTGAAGCTTGGTTAGTTTCTAAGTAGAAAGGGGAAAATAGATCAACCAATATTATCATGGGCATTTTTTAGTTTTTCTTATCTTCTTTTGAATGAATCAAAAAAATGATGGGGGTGAAGGGGGAATAACTGGCAATTGTTCCATTTTTCTTTCAAAATACAGCTGGTTTCTCTTTTTTGCCTCCTCGTTGGTTTGTCATTGCATTATAAACCTATTTGATTGGAACTCCCAGGTTGGGCACTATTTCATGAGCAGCTGAATTGGCTTAGGTTTACATGGCAATCTCTGATCCCTCTCTCTGTCTCTCTCTCTCCAGGGAGTATCAAGAAGGTGTTTTATTTAAGGGAAGGGGTTTTTAGAAAAACAAACAAGCATTAAGTATGAAAAAATTGAACATGTAGAATAGCATGCCACCTTCAATTATTTTATTTTTAAATAGATTTGAAACAACCCACTAATATATATTTTAGTGTGACTTTCTAAAGACAAAAGGACTCATGCTAACAAAAATACCATTTACACACCCACAACACTTAATATGAATTATGGTGTTAGCAAAGAATATTGAAATGGCTGTGGACTACCAGTGGATCAAACAAATTTATCTTTGAAGGAGGACAACCAGAATGTTCCTGAGAAGTGAAGACAGCAAGATTTGTCTCAAATACTTTGGGCATGATACTAGGAGAGACTAGTCCTTGGAAAATGACATCATAGATTGGGGAAGACCCTCAGCAGTAAGGACTGACACCGTAGCTGCGACAGTGAGCTCAAACGTAACAATGGTAAGGATGGCACAGGCAGGGTTTCCTTCTACTGTCAATGGGTTTGTTAGGGTCAGAACGGACTTGAAGGAATCTCATAACAAAGAGAAACAACAGCATAGCTTAATGGGAGCACAGTTTTGTTCATTTGAAGCTTGAACCCTGATGTTGTGAAGTACTATTTTGACGCTCAGAGGAGAGATCATGGCTAGAGATGAAGTAGTAACCACCATGTGGAGGATGTCAAGGACAGGAACTTGATTCGTAGCTGCCCAAAAGTCAAATAGTAGGGGAATGCCATTAGGGACAAAATTGAATAAAGTCCATGTACATAAGGAATTTAAAGAAGGTGAAGACCAATGAGGGTCACTTTTCAGTGAAGTGAGGCTTGGGCTGGGCCT